AAATCACCATGTTAAAGACAGATGGACATGGATGCCATGTCTCTTGATAACTTTTCTAACTTACAACTGATCCAAGAAGAATTCCAAAGTAACATTAGGGATAAATGCCAGGTCAGAAGAGAAAGTTCTACATGAGTGAGTTTAAAGGATTTCAGGACTTCTAAGTAAGGAGTTTTATCCAATGGCAACTCATTTTCCCCCAGTACAAATTATATTTGTGAAGAAAACCAGCTTAAATGTAATTTGATGGAGTTCTGATCTGGAGTTGTGAAAAAAGACTGAAGATGAAATCTATCCATACAAACAATCCTGACCAGCAAGGAAGGAAAAAAAGTGCTCAGTTCAACTAACAGTGCTTCTTTTTTTATAATTCTAGGTCAAAGCTGGATTTGTACTCAACATTCTGGGAGTTCTGACAATAACTCTTGCCATCAATACCTGGTCTTCATCTCTGTTCCAACTGCAAACTTTCCCATCTTGGGCAAACAAGACAGGCTTGTGCCCATAACACGGAGAGGCGAAGGGACCAGTGACTGTTCCTGTTAGAGCTGCAGTGAGAGCAGGACTGCCCTCCATGCCAGCTTTGCCAAGGCAGTGGCATAGACACAGGCCTGTCTTCCGGAAAAGGACAAGTCACCTGCAAGCAAAACCGTTCTGTTGATAACAGCAATAAAATTGCACAACAGTGCTGTTAGCTGGCAATTTTGTCAGTAAGATGAGGTAACCTTTGGCTTTTCCACTGTCCCAGGAACCTTTAGATTTTCTGTCTCTGCAGGGGTATTTTCCCCAAGTGCTTTTCCACTCCACCTGTAAAGTCTGAAATCTGCGGTGAGAAAAAAGAGAGGTGTGTATATATATATAAAAGGAAGACTCTGTGTTCCTGATTTCATGCAGAGATCTGTGTCTTGTCACAATTAACATGACTATTCACATGTATATGTGTATATGTTCAAACTGTACATGATTGTTATATACTGTTATGGGCATTGACAGCATTACAGACAAATCACATAATGTCAGCCCCTTCTCTTTTCGAAATATATTTATTTGCAGTCCTCTTGTTATGAATGTAAAAGACTATTTTTTCCGCATTGTTATTTATGTCAGATTACACCCTGCAAGACCATGACAGGACCAGCAACGTTCCCCTGAGAAGGAGAGAACCCCTGTGTCCTAAAATAAACATGATTGAATTAAAGATTTTTTTTAATGTACTTCTGTGTTCTGCATAATTTTTAAACTATATATCACTGCTTCTGTCTTCCATATATCAACTACTTTTCTGTTTGATTATTTAAAATATCTTTAAATAATCAGAGAAATCAGCATAATTGATTTTCTCTTATCTTAAAAGTAATAAATATTATTATTGACAGTCGAATTTGACATTGGAATGTCAAATCCGAGATTTTCCTTTTAAAAAGCATGTAATACTGTTAAATATTTAATACCTATTCTGCTGCAACTGACTTCCAGTAGCACATAAACTCCTAATGACCAAACTGACAAAGCCACTGGAATATCCAAAGACACTTTGCCAAAACTATCTCTTAGTACCATAACTGAGGTTGGGTTCAGACAGAGCAGTTATTCAACATCTGACCCTGAGGTTTGCACTGAAATCTTTGTTCTGTTGTTGCCTGCCTACATTTTGCACAAAGAATGTGGCTTTTCAGAAGTCCCACTCTGATGGCATCCCCATACTGGTTCCATCAGAGTGAACATGAGGGAATTTCACTCAAAATCAGTATGTGCTCTTTGAAATCTGTCTTCTTTCTTTCTTTCTCAGTCCTAAATATTAGGAGACAAGGACATTGTGCAGTGTACATTTGACTTACAAAATGCCAGAATTCACTGACCTGCACTAGTTCCTTTCCACTTCCAACTCTCCAGACAATTCTGGTGCCTGCTGGTCACTGATCCCTCTTGCACTGATGGTTTCACTGGCCAGTTGCTCCCAGAAATCACTGCCCTGGAAAGAACAACCTGTTATTAACCCTTCAGTACCTTTCACAGAGAGGGTTTTGATGTGTGATAGGGATCCAAGAGAAAATCCACAGCACAAGCAGGACAGGCATTTATTCTCTGTTGCTAATGAGCTCCTGGGTAATTGATTTCAAACACATAATGACTTGTTCAGGTCACTGCTAAACCACTCTCCTTTCCCTTGGCATTTAACTCTATTAAATAACATCCAAATCTCCCTAAATATTTTCATTAGCCTGCTCACCCTGTGTCTGAGGACCTAAAAATGACAAACTCAAGCAGATGATTTTCTGTGAGCCTCTCCCTTCTTCTCTCTTTGTCTGCAGCACCAGGGCAGCATGCACAGCTTTTCTTGCCTTTTGTTTTCTTTGAAACACTCACAGAGTGTTTACATGTCCTTCTAAATTACTGCTTAGCTAAGCAGGAAAGGTGGAATTCTTATAACATTTCCCATCAGCCTCTCCTTCCAGCCCTTTAAAACTATGTTATGACTCTTTGAAGTCTTTTTTGTTAGACTACATTACTCAGAGGCTGTGATGAGCTCATAAGAAACTCACATTTCAACCTGGTCTAGTGAAAGATGCCCCTGCCCATGGCAGGGGTTTGGAAGAAGATGATCTTTAAGGTCCCTTCCAACAAAAACCACCCTGGGATTCCATGATTCAAGAACTAAACTTGAGTTGTATCCCTAAACCAGTTTTTCCACAATACAACTCTATTAATCCTGACGATCCATCTGTATTTCTCCCATTAATATTGTCAGTGAATTTTGACAACCTTGGGACAAATGCTGCCCAAAATTCTATGGAAGCAGGGAAATGCTAAAAGGGTGTGCATGTATTGGCACTGGTTGCTTACAGAGCACTGCAGTTAGGAAGATCCAAGCACACTCCAAGAAAGAAGGAAGACAGACCAGTTGTACTGGTTATTAGACATAGTTAAGGAGCTAAAAAAAAAACCAAAAAAACAATCCAAACCAACACACACACATTTCTGCCAAGCCAGTTATAAGAAGATAACCATGTGCTAGCCTAAGCCTCTGGCAGAAGTAAAAAACTGTTAGCTGTCTTCTAGTTAGCTAAATATTAATCATCCTGTTTAGAACCAATCATGTCACTAACTGGCCAGAAACTTGGTTAAAGATTGTGGTACCAAGAAGGTGTTTTATCTCTAGCTGCAGTATTCCTTGACTTCCACAGAAAATATGATGAGCAAGGCAAATTCCAAAGGAATACTCCTACTGTTAGTAAATCTGTAACTTTTTTGAAAGGGATTTAGGAGGCTGTACTCAATAAGGTCAGAAGCCCGGCAGAGAGGGAAGCCAAGCTCACACAAAACCAAGAGTTTCTTGGCTCCAAAATGCCCTGTGACAAGAAGGAAAAAAGCCAGGGACTAAAGAGAACTTCCACCTGGGCCTTGCGCCACTGGCCACCACCGATGCTGGCCAGCATGCCCGCACAGCCCAGGCACGCCTCGAGGATGGCCACCCGGAACGTCCGCGTGCGCCTGTCGCTGGTGTCGGCCACGTAGGCAAAGCAGCTGGCCAGGATCAGGTTGTAGTCTCCTGTCAGACCACTCAGAAGGTGTCCCAGGAGCAAGTAGGCGACGTGCAGCTCCAGGTACATGACCAGCAGGTAGACGGCCGTTTGCAGGGCTATGCCCGCTGCCGGCAGGATGAGCGCCGGACGGCGGCCCACGCTGTCGCTCCATGGTCCAAACAGAGTCACCGAGAAGAGACAGACAAAGAAGCCCCCCAAGTTGATGTAGAGGTTCCAGTGGGAGACCAGGGCTTCCACCTCCTGCAAGAGAAACAGGCGGCTGAGGGCTCTCAACAGCACCCAGTGCCACCCTGGGCTCTCCACTGCCCCGCTCTCCCCAAGCTGCCCTTCCCCTCCGGGCTCCCTGATCCCCTTGGGGCTCCACTGTCTCCCTGGACACCCCATTTCTCCTGAGTTCCCCTCTCCCCTGCTTGTCCCCACTTCCATGGGCTCCCTGCACACCCAGGGCTCCCCTTGGACACTCTGCTCCCTTCGGGCTCCCCGTTTTCCCCTGAGCTCCTGAGTTTCCCCTGAGGACTCCCTTGTCCCCCCTCTCCCCCGGTGCCCCCTCACCTGCTGCAGCGGGTCGGCGGCAGCGCTGCTGTTCCCGCAGCCGGCGGAGCCGCTGCTGTTGTGGCCGTGGTAGCCGCGCTCGGCGCCCAGCCGGTCCCACAAGTACTAAAACAAAGATATTTACTCAGCATCAAAGTCTGACCACTGTGAAGTCGCATTCCTTTTCATTCACAGCACTGGCAATAACCCTCCATGAGTGCGTCCAACGGAATGACAAAAGAAAAACCTTATATTCGCAAAAGTCGTTACACATTGATGCTAAATCCCGCCTTTTCCGCGCCCCCCACTATACAGGGTTGCTGTAATTATTTCACGGTCTTTGCTGCCATCTATCGTCCTTTTATTACAATTAGAGTCCAGTGTTACACAGTCTTTGTTCCAATCGTATATTAATTCTTAGTAGTGTTGGATGACTTCTTTTCTTCTTGGATGAATTTTTTTTCGTTTTTTTTTTCATTTTTCCTTGAATGCTGATTAGTTACGTGTCAGTTGGAAGAGATACGTCCTACCTACTTGCAAAAGTTCTTTCCTCAGTCCCCCTTACTTACAGAAGTTATATCCCTTATCTAAGGATAGGCAATTCTCATCAAGTTAAGCAAAAAATGCAAGGCTCATGGCACGTTAGAAGCACGCGCATAGCTTTAGCCTGAAATAATTCCACGCTAATTCTTTATGTGCTGTTTTCCATTCAAGCGTCAGAAAAAAATTAAAATCCAAAAAAAAAAAAAGAAATAAAACCCCACACATTTATATTAATAAACCACAACTTAATTTGGAATGGACACGGTCTAGCAGACAGTGTTTAAGAGTCCCCTTCAGCACTGGGTGGCGAGCGGGCCCTGCAGCCCCAGGGTGGCCCCGAACGGCAGCGGTTCGGCCGCGGGCGGGGGGATCGCGGGGGCGGCGGTTGGCGGCGGGTGAACGGCCGGGTCCGTTGCCTTCCAGAGGCAGATCCCAGGCCCTTCAGCACTGGGATAGCTCCGGCGCCATGGCTGGTGTCTTGGAGGTGATCCTGGCCTTCAGGAAATACCTCATCATCATCACGGTAATCGTTTTGCCTCTCGCTCTGCCTCTGGCGGTGCCTACCAAGGTAAGGACTTTTTGAATTCCACATCTCGGAGCTGCTCCTTGTAAGTGGCACAGTGAACAGATCATCAGTCTCCTTGAAGAACACCCAGTGACATGCGATTTGTGACTTTTGCTTTGCATCTGACTGGTTTAGCAAAGGACTTTCTATGCTGAAGATTATAGGTGTGAACCTAAGTTACAATCTAAGGTCCAGTTTTAATCCTTTCTGATTTTCTATCTTCTTTGACTTTTTTCCTTTTTTTTCTTTTTTTTTTCCTGTTCTTATCTCAATCCTCCTTAATTACAAAAGTTACCCTTATCCAAGGTTAGGAAACTTTTAGCAAGTTCGGCAAAAACGCCAGGAAGCACACACACAGCGCAGAATTACCTCAGGTTAAAGTTAATTCCTTACGAGCTGCTTTCTATTGAAGTGTTAGGAAAAAAATTAAAACCTAAAAAAAAACCCCACCCAAACCTATTCATATCAATAAACTCCAACTTAATTTGGAATGGACACGGTTTAGCAGACAGTGTTTAAGAGTCCCCTTCAGCACTGGGTGGCGAAGAGGCCCTGCAGCCCCAAGGACACGGTGGCCGGGAGCGGCGGCGGCTCGGCCGCGGGCGGGGGTCGCCGGGGCGGGCGGTGTTTGACGGCACCGGTTGACGGCGGGTCAACGACCCTTTCAGCACTGGGATAGCTCCGGCACCATGGCTGGAGTCTTGGAGGTGATCCTGGCCTTCAGGAAATACCTCATCATCATCACTGTAGTCGTTTTGCCTCTTGCTCTGCCTCTGGCGGTGCCTACCAAGGTAAGGACTTCTTGAATTCCACATCTCGGAGCTGGTCCTTGTAAGTGACAGAGTGAACAGACGGTACAGATTCTTTCTCAGAGAACCTTCTGCCTGTGCCTGCCTCCTGATCCCTGCTGACTCCCAGTTCAGAGTCTCCTTCTCCAAGCTTCCTTCTGCACTACATTAGCTCTTCCCTGCCTGTCCCAAAGCTCTTTCCTCCTCACAGCTCTGAGTGTTATCAGAGACTTTGGAGCTCTGACCGGAGGATTGCGAGCGTGAATGATAGAGTGGTACTGGCTGGAGGTGCAGTGTGGTAACTGTTCAGGCGTGGCACCTCACTCTCTCACTAAGCAAATAAAATAGTTTAAATTATTACTTAAAAGCTTACTAGCAGGAAAAACAGAAAAAGTACCTTTTGTTTTAGTCAACTTTTCATAGTCAAAAGAGTTCCTGAAGGTAAAAGAGATCTGGATCAAGCAGTCTCGGCTCAGTTCCTTTTTGAAAATGACTCTCTCACAGGATGGAATTTCATATTTTTCTGTTCTGTTGAGCTATTAACCTGCCCTATAGTGACATAGCAATGGAGACCAAACTGTTATAATTGAGAGCAAACAATGCTAAAGTTTTAGCTTATAGACAGATGAATGTCCTTGCAGGAAAACTGACTTTGTGAAAAAGTTTTTTCCCACTTTTACTGAGAGCTTGTTCGCAGCAGGATGGAAGCCAATAACACTGTGCCTATGACATATGCCCCAAAGCCCAGCTAGGGTCTCTCAAAAGGCACCTATTGATGTCTTTTAAGAACAAAAATGGATAAAAAGAATCATCAAACTGAAAAAATTCTCTCGGTGCTTGATGGGATGGATAATTAATGTTCTTACTGCTCTCACTCAAAAATAAGGCTCAAAAATCCATATTTTCATCTCTTCATGAAACTTTTCAGATTTCCTTCTCCAACCTGTCTGCTTTCCTCCAATCCCTGTATAAACCAATGAATGCAATTATGTGTCATTGCCTTCTGGAAGGCGGAGTGTTCTGATCATCTCCTCTCCCCCTCTTGCCCCCCAGGAGGCCAGATGTGGTTATGTTATCATAGTGATGGCAGTTTTCTGGTGCACAGAAGCAGTACCATTGGCTGTCACAGCTCTCCTACCTGTCCTGCTGTTCCCACTAATGAATATCATGGATGCAAACACAGTAAGAGATTTTACATCATACGTTATGTATTAATCAGTCAGCTTCTCTTATTCTGGGATTATTTCTCAGAAAATAATAATATTAACATTAACAACAACAATACTAATAACAATAATTAGTATTAGTAGTATTACTAATACTACTTTTACTATTCCACTGCTGTTACACAGGGAATTGGCTGTCTTCTTCACAGAATAGAACTTGCACAAGCCCACAGTGAGCTCTGGGTGGAGCTGCTAATCTGAAATCAAAGCACTGTTCAGATGCAACCCAGAGTTACTCTGTGCTAATGGCTTTGGAACAACCTCCCTCAGAAAATGCCTTCTCTCTTGGCTTCTTCTGACTGTTTTCTCTCCCTTGTTCCACATTACAGGTCTGCCGGGAATATTTAAAGAACACCAATATGCTTTTTGTTGGGGGACTGCTGGTGGCCATTGCCATTGAGAACTGGCACCTACACAGGCGTATGGCTCTGCGGGTCTTGCTTGTCACTGGTGTCAGACCAGCCCTGTAAGTAACAGTCAAAAAAACACCATGGGATAAAGGACTTTATGTGACATATGTGAATCTGCAAATCACAGCCTACAAATGTTTTCCTGCAGTCCAAGTGAGTTAGTGCCTGAGCTAACCTTGCAAATGGGGATCCTGTGATGGGTTACAGACCTGGTGTGCCTTTTTTTGAATTCCAAATGGCTTTAGGTGGAGAAATAGCAGCAAGAGAGTCAATGGTGGTAAGACACAGCTTCAGACAGTCAGGAAAGACCACAGATGAAACACAGCAAACATGGACTCTCTGCCTGCTACACTGATTGCCAAGAGAAGAGAAAACATGAAGATGCTTGTTTGGAAAACAAGTGTTTTCCAGACTAGAATTCTAAATTATGCGGAGGCTACAACACCCTATTTAATCTGTCTTAGCTCCTAACAAGAGGGAATACTGAAGGAAATTACAAAGCAATAGAATAAAAATACATACAAGATAAACCCCTTTCCATCTCATGTATAATCTACATCTCATCTAAA